CGAACGAAATTTGAAATTTGCTTTATGCATTTAAATAAGGTCAAGTCAAAGGGGCACCTGCTACAACATATGCCTCACAGTTAATTACGTGGTTTATACGCCCCTACGACATGATGCCTTCGATCTACAGGGTGTCCTAGGAGGAATGGACAACATTTTGGGAAATGAAAGTAGAGGTTATTTGAACTCAAAAACGCTAATCAACCATATTTTTATTCTCAACCGTTTTGAGGATGTAGCCAACAATTTTAATTTTATTTTAACTAATTTGTTTTAATAAGGCGGCTATAAATCAATTTTCTCTAGCCAACTGTAGTCAGCTTGGGGTAATAATTTACTTTAATTGTATTTGTTACCAGTCTGTAAATGTGTAAATATTACAGTAAAGGTAATGAATTCGGCGATCATATGTTTATTATGCTTTCTACAAAATTTGCTTACAATTTAGAGAAGGTTTGAAATATCAAATAATGTACAGGGTGTTCCATAAAAAAAATGCAATTTTGGTATTCCACGCCTTTTTGGCCAACCATGTGTATTGCCTAGTAGACTTTGAAGAACCCCAAAACTGATATTATGGAACTTATTTCAGTAGGTATCTTGTATATTTTTCCCAAACTTATCAGCGACCCCTATTATTAAGAAATTTAATAATTTGAATATCTTCTTTTTTCGACCGGTTTCCAAAGTTACATAAGATTTCCTACACGGATTTGTTGTTTGAATTTTTTTATCACTTATCGAATATGTAATCCATGGGTGGGCAACCTTTTTAGCAAACAAGCCAAATATGAACAGTAAGATTCCCCTTGGCCAACTTTTTTTTAGCGCATTTCCACAAAAATAAAAAAAAAATGCGCTATTGTGGCCACTTTGTCCGTCCGTCCGCTAACTTTGCGACGCTACTAGTTTTTTATCTTAAGAGCTATTGTTCTACTTTTTTCGCTATTTGGTTCGTTATGGTGTCGAGTCTTGTACCAAGGAAGGAATTTTTTCTGTACCGCTTACAAAAAAAGTTATTGTAAAAAAAACAAGAAACCGTTTTTTACATGTTCCATAATTTTACACTTTTGCCGTTTATTTACGATCCTAGAGATCGTTTATAATTTTGCATTGCTATCTGTCGCCTGCCGGTTGGTCTCTCCGTCTGTTCCTTTGTCTGTCTGTCCATCTATCTGTCCGTGTGAACCATAACTTTGTTTAGAAATGTTTGATCGCTTTTACATCTCCGTTAGTTATGAACTGAATTGCATGAAATTCAATATGGGCATAGATTTAGCCATATAATACGCAATGCCAAAAGTTGAATTGAATTCACAATGCCCTTTTCGCATCTCGACCATTTATAAACCGAATTGCAAACTTTTTTACTTATAAAAGTATTTGAATGAAATTTGATACATAGGCACTTGGAATAAAGGGAAATCAAACGCCAATTTCAAAATTTGGTTTTGCGCATGCGCAGTGCCAACTTTTTTATTTATGGAAGAATTTTAACGAAATTTGATACATAGGCACTTGGGATAAAGGAAAATCAAACGCCAATTTCAAAATTTGGTTTTGCGCATGCGCAGTGCCAACTTTTTTTATTTATGGAAGAATTTAAATGAAATGTGATACATAGGCACTTGGAATAAAGGAAAATCTAGCGCCAGTTTCAAAATTTTATTTTGCGCATGCGCCGTGCCAACTTTTTTATCTATGGACTATTTAAGTGAAATTTGATACTTAGGCGCTTGGAACAAAGGAAAATCTTAGTTTATTAGTTAGTTATAGTAAATTAGTTTTAAAATTTAGGTTTGCGCATGCGCAGTTCCAACTTTCTTGTTTAGAAAAGCATTGAAATGAAATTCTTCTCATAAACTGAAATTGAAGTAGCACGTCAACAATGGATTGCCCATGTGCAACGCCATCTTTCATATTTGTGGCCGGATTTTTACGATTTTAACAGAAGTTGCATCTTACAAATGGGAAATGAATGCAAGTGGAAATGCGCTTTATGTAAATCGTTTACGATTACTTTTTAACTTGTTTTAATTGAACCAAACGGATTTAAGTTACATACTTAAATAGAATCCAAATTCCTAGTTACTACCACAATTTTTAAAAAATGTAGTGACTATGGAGATCTGATTCTATTTAATACATTAACAACCACATAAGAGATTCATTTATTTCACGTATCTGGTTACATACTTACCTTTTAATGCAAAATTTTACATAAGAACAAAATAGAGGATGAAAAAGTGAAGTCTGATGTGAACTGTAGAATGGATACTAATACAATGTGTCCAAGATAAGGATGTCTACTATGGGGATATCCGAAACGATAGAAGATATGATTATGGTCAAATCATCAACTGAATTTTATTATACCGGGTGGTGCCTAGCGGGACGCAGCATAGGGATTTCAATGGTAATTTCTTTATAGTCAATTACTAGCTCCCCTAATTATCAGACGGTCATCAAATTTCGCTGTCGTGTTGGGGGGGGGGGGGCCAAGTGACAACCAATTGGACGGGTGGAATTGGTTTCATCTTTCATGGTACTCTAGTGAAAGGTCTCCACGAAAAATTTCAACCAACCATAGTCCTCCTCCCCCACCTCTTATCGTGATCGAATATAATTCCTGATATCGGTTTGTCGGAAGAAAGTACTCTCAACGACAAAATGAATCGTTTGGACGAGACACATCTATTGGTGAAGTGGAAGCGAATAAACAAAGTTTAGAAAGAGGGTATTTATAAAGCGTAAGTGGAACGTTAGGATGAGACATATCTACTGGTGATGTGAAAAGTGTCATTGCAAACATTTGCAGAACGGAGTGTCGTAAGACGGTACTCTTCACAGGTCGACCATGTAGACGAGACACGTCCATTGGCGATGTGAAGATTTAATTGTGAATATCTCGAAAATGTTAAAGGAAGGCCCCCCCCCCCTCAAATGATTTTCTGAAGTACTGTGAAAGTAAAACGCCCATAATTCGTACATGCGACAACCTTTAGTGGCGCAAAGTAACATGTGAGAATTTTGGGGGGGGGGGGGGAATACATGTTACAAATGAATTGACTTTTCGAGAACAGTGAATGCCGAAGTGCATCATACTCGTCTTCTCAAATATTTTCCATCTCGACTGATACTTCGTTCAGGTTCTGATGGTTCAACAGATTCGTACATGGCATTCAGTATACGTTTGTAAAAACTTGTTGCGGATTCCAGTCTGTCAACATGCGGCTTAAGTTGCTTTTCCAATCTCCAGTAAAAATTCTCTTTGTTTGATATTCATGTAAGCAAAGTTCGGTTACCAGGAGGATACTGGTAAAGAAGTTTTCGGTTGTTAGTCTCTATTCACCTTAAACACTTTTTCTCAGGTGTTCCTGAGGGTATACTTCCTTCGTTCTCTGCATCTATTTGAAGATTCATGGCATATATGGATTCATTATCCCAAACCTTTATCCATTATTTAGTGGGTTTAGATTTCATGTAGACTCTGAATGGGTATTTCCCTCCGAAAGCTTCTGGGTGCTGTTGTTCTTAACATGAAAATATTTGTACTTAACACCTCAAACCGGTTTTCAGAAGAGATTTTACTGTGTGAAATTTCATGAGTTTTGAAATGACAACGCAGAATTGGTCATTGGCTCTTCGTCTACTATGAAACGTAATATATTCTCGGGCCTTTGCTGTGTGGAAAACTGGTCTACTAGAAAAATGTTCGTCCAAAGAAAATCTCTCTGTATATATTTTAAGCCGTTTGGTTAGTACATTGAATAATAATTTGAACTATTTCATTGTACAATAAAACAATTTGTCGATTAGCAAAGACAGGTTTTTGGAAGTAGAAGTCAGTCCTGACTTTTTGGTTATTTGTTCTTGACGGTTTTGATGAGATTTTCTTCCAAATCATCCCATTTTTTGACAGAAAAAAAGCATTATCATGGGATTTAATATTTCCTTCATTGTCGTCCTGAACCTAGAATAAATAATAATTTGTAAAATAGGTAGGAATGGACGAACGAACTAACATTGCAAAACAAAGTTGCCTCGATGCACGAACTGCCTAATTTGGTCAAAATGGCTACACAAGAAATGTTGCTTAACCTCTAAAATGTCAGATTCAAGGTCTTGAGCAAATTTGGGACATTCAGATACTGTTTTTTCATTATTTTCAGTCAGCGGCGCAGGAAAATACCAAAGCGATGATCATTTGCATTTCCTTTGACATTTCCCAATAACACATGAAAGTCTCCTCAAGTACATAAGCATATAATTAATTTATGGATAGGAACTTTTGTGAAAAATTTGAATAACCTTGAATAATTCGGAAATGTTACCATTTCATTGTGAACACCCTGTATGACTAACCCAAACTTGCTCATGATCAAAGTGTTCCCTTTACTCGGATAAATATAATTGCTCAAATTTATTTCTTCACAAAAACAAGGTCGCTACAATTTATCAAAGGGAGGCTTGCTTAGGGAGAATTATTCGGAAAAAAATTAATCAGATGGAAACATCAAAAATCAAAAAGTGCATAGGTTTCAATGTCAACAAGTGACATCGAAACAACTAAAAATATACAGGGTATTCTATTTAACAAAAATCATTTATTTATATACACAGTCAAAATGCGACACCCTGTACATTCAAAAATAATTCTATAGATGCGCACCCTTGGAATTTTTGTTTACATGGGAAATCGTACTTAACTTGAACTTCCAAAGGTGACTGACTTGACAGCAGCTCATTTTTGATCACCTGTCCCAAGAGCAAGCAAGTCAACTTAAAAGATTAATTTGCTGGGGATTTTACTTACTGCTTGAAGCAATTGTAATATTTTAAGTTAAATCTTCATTAGATGATTAGAGTGAATGGTGTTTCGTATTCGTTTCTCAAGCAGTAGTAGAAACCATCTACTACCTCTAGAGGTTTTTGTTTCCCCATACATCGATTGTCTTTGGCTTCTATAAATTATTACTTAAATATTTTATTTTTTGCAGATGGGGTATAAGATGATTCTTATAGAATTGCAAGAAGGCGAGGGTAGCGGAACACTACTTGCAGAGACAGCATTGCGGATATTGCAGGTACAGTATGTTTCGAATTTAAGTGTCCTATAACGCAACCCTTAATTACTTAATATAATATAAGAAATAAAGGCTGGCGACTCTTAACACATAAACAAAGAACCTAATCAATTCATAGTATTTAACATTTTTTTATCAGTTTATTGGATAACGAACAAAAGAAACAATACATAATTGTAGTGATTATTAAATTAAATTAATTTATTATCCCTCTCTTGTTCTAGGCCCTCAACAGGCTTGCGCCCAATTACAGAGAGACCCGCATAATGCTAAATCTATCGCGTTATAGCAAAAGTTAATTTGTTAGAAAAATGCAATTTGAATAACATTTTAAACGGGTGCTCATTGCTATGAATTTTTACTGACCATCTACTTTTTGAAAAAATGACGATTCCTGCTAAAGGATCTATTTTGGATATCATGTGTAATATATAGTTCCACTAAACTTGACCATGCAATCGAAATATGTAATAATATACAGGAGGTTCCATTAAAAAAATGCATCGTTAATATAAATCCGCCCAGCTTCATTCACTTTACCATAGTTGACTGCTTCAGAAGTAAAGTACTGCAGAGATTGATTTTATGCCAAAACACCTGACACAGACTCCTTTCTTATGGATCATAGTTAAGAGAATATTGGACCAATCCAAAGGAAGGTTTTTGTTTTTAATAATTTTATTGAAAATACATATACAAGGTTCTGCGACAATGCGTCACCCTTTCCTAGCTCATACTGGTAAAAAATATCAAAAAACCTTTTGTGCAAATGTCTATAGATGGGTTGGGCTGTCCCATTTTTGGGGTTTCGGAAAATGTGATGAAGAAGAATTATGTATTTAATTGAATTTTTGGGATATGTTACATGCATTTATACAGTCTCTCATTGTACAGTTGAAAATATCGACACTGTCGGGCATATTATGAAAGTTTTTAAGGCAACTTATCAGCTGTAATTTGTAAACCATATTTGCCAATATCTCAAGTCCAACTACTTACATGGTCTAACACAAAATTGAAATCGTACAAACAAAACACATAGCAACTAATCCACTGAAAAAAATCGTTGTTGTGGCCTTCCATTCTGTTCACATATTTTGCTGAAATGCTTCTTTCATAGGTTGTATATTACAAGGTGCCAGTACTAAAATTTAATTATTATTAAATTCTTGGGGTGCTTGAGTTTGTTATTAATTCATTTTTTTTTTTTTGTTACAGAACAAGAAACAAATCAGACATCCTACAGCTTCTAGCTAGCAGTATGAAAATTATGTTTAAGAATGGGATATGTGAAAAAAATACAAAAACTCCTCAGTGGTCCACAATCGACCTTTAGAAATGCTTCCTCATCTACTATTGGATATTAAACATGACCTGATTGGATTTCACGACTAAGACCGGAAATAAAGAACATGCACGAAGATGGTTAATTTCTCTATCACGTCAATCTGCAACTGACTGGTGGCCATTACTTTTTATGTTGCTAAATATTACTCTCCACCATTTGGGCATTTGTCTGCTTTGTCAAAGACGAATTACATCTGCAATATCAACAAAGTACAATATGTCAGGTTGTGTACAGATTGGAATTGAACTGAGTAGATTCCTGAATTAAACTGTTCACGAGACACAGATGAAATCCATATCTGAAGGGAACTTTAAATACTAAGGGTTAATCTGTTCTCCACCATTTGTCTGCTTTGTCAAAGAAGAAATAAATCTATAATATGAGCCAGTGTCTGTCAGCTTGTGTACAGATTGGAATTGAACTGAGTAGATTCCTGAATGTAACTGTTCACGAGACACAGATGAAATCCATATCTGAAGGGAACTTTAAATACTAAGGGTTAATTTGTTCTCCACCATTTGTCTGCTTTGTCAAAGAAGAAATAAATCTATAATATGAGCAGTGTCTGTCAGCTTGTGTACAGATTGGAATTGAACTGAGTAGATTCCTGAATGTAACTGTTCACGAGACACAGATGAAATCCATATCTGAAGGGAACTTTAAATACTAAGGGTTAGTTTGTTCTCCACCATTTGTCTGCTTTGTCAAAGAGGAAATAGATCTATAATATGAGCAAGTGTTTGTCAGCTTATGTACAGATTGGAATTGAACTGAGTAGATTCCTGAATTAACTGTTCACGAGACACAGATGAAATCCATATCTGAAGGGAACTTTAAATACTAAGGGTTAATTTGCTCTCCACCATTTTTGTCGGCTCTGTCAAAGAATTAAATGTACGATATGAATTGTCTGTCAGCTTGTGTGCAGATTGGAATTGAACTGAGTAGATTCCTGAATGTAACTGTTCACGAGACACAGATGAAATCCATATCTGAAGGGAACTTTAAATACTAAGGGTTAATTTGTTCTCCACCATTTGTCTGCTTTGTCAAAGAAGAAATAAATCTATAATTATGAGCAAGTGTTTGTTAGCTTGTGTACAGATTGGAATTGAACTGAGTAGATTCCTGAATTCAACTGTTCACGAGACACAGATGAAATCCATATCTGAAGGGAACTTTAAATACTAAGGGTTAATTTGCTCTCCACCATTTTTGTCGGCTCTGTCAAAGAATTAAATGTACGATATGAATTGTCTGTCAGCTTGTGTGCAGATTGGAATTGAACTGAGTAGATTCCTGAATGTAACTGTTCACGAGACACAGATGAAATCCATATCTGAAGGGAACTTTAAATACTAAGGGTTAATTTGTTCTCCACCATTTGTCTGCTTTGTCAAAGAAGAAATAAATCTATAATATGAGCCAGTGTCTGTCAGCTTGTGTACAGATTGGAATTGAACTGAGTAGATTCCTGAATGTAACTGTTCACGAGACACAGATGAAATCCATATCTGAAGGGAACTTTAAGTACTAAGGGTTAGTTTGTTCTCCACCATTTGTCTGCTTTGTCAAAGAGGAAATAGATCTATATGAGCAAGTGTTTGTCAGCTTATGTACAGATTGGAATTGAACTGAGTAGATTCCTGAATTAAACTGTTCACGAGACACAGATGAAATCCATATCTGAAGGGAACTTTAAATACTAAGGGTTAATCTGTTCTCCACCATTTGTCTGCTTTGTCAAAGAAGAAATAAATCTATAATATGAGCCAGTGTCTGTCAGCTTGTGTACAGATTGGAATTGAACTGAGTAGATTCCTGAATGTAACTGTTCACGAGACACAGATGAAATCCATATCTGAAGGGAACTTTAAATACTAAGGGTTAATTTGTTCTCCACCATTTGTCTGCTTTGTCAAAGAAGAAATAAATCTATAATTATGAGCAAGTGTTTGTTAGCTTGTGTACAGATTGGAATTGAACTGAGTAGATTCCTGAATTCAACTGTTCACGAGACACAGATGAAATCCATATCTGAAGGGAACTTTAAATACTAAGGGTTAATTTGCTCTCCACCATTTTTGTCGGCTCTGTCAAAGAATTAAATGTACGATATGAATTGTCTGTCAGCTTGTGTGCAGATTGGAATTGAACTGAGTAGATTCCTGAATGTAACTGTTCACGAGACACAGATGAAATCCATATCTGAAGGGAACTTTAAATACTAAGGGTTCATTTGTTCTCCGCCATTTGTCTTCTTTGTCAAAGAGGAAATAAATCTATAATATGAGCAAGTGTCTGTCTGTCAGCTTGTGTACAGATTGGAATTGAACTGAGTAGATTCCTGAATTTTAACTGTTCACGAGACACAGATGAAATTCATAATACTTCAATGGGAGATGAAAGATTAAGGGATAATTTCCTGTCCGCCATTTGTTTGCTCTGTCAAGAAATCAAATCAGGGAGCACTAACAATCACAATGAAATCATATACCGGGTGATCATAAAGTAGTGCGGACAGTTTGAATTTCCCACAAAACAAAAAATTTTTGAAGTTGGTAACACCAAATGTCATTTATTTAAAGGCAGTGTTAGATCAATTTAATGGGCAACTAAAAATAATCATAATTAATTAATTAAAGAACATTAATAAGTTTATAATTAAGCACTTCATCACAATGATTGTTCAAAATGTACATCATCATGGTCAAGACACAGTTGCACTCGACGGGTCATGTTTTCAAATACATGTTCTAACATTGCCGGTGTGATGTTAATTACTTCTTCTACGATTGCATTTTGAAGTTCCTCAAGAGTGTGCAAGCGATTTTGAAAAATATTATTCTTTAATGTGGGAAACAGGAAAAAATCTAGTGGAGTTAATTCTGGCGAACGGGAAGGCCATAAACCTCTACTGATTAAACGATCATCGTAAAATTGTTGTAGATACTGAAGCGTGACGTTTGCTGTATTCGCTGCTGCACCATCTTGCTGGAAATATCCTTCTCTCAGTTCGTCATCATGAAGTTGATTCAGAAACGTATCCAGTTTTTCAGTACGCGGTACCTTTCTGCAGTAACGGTATCGTTGAAAAAAATTGGACCTATGATACGTCTCCTAGACATGCCAATCTTCAAAGGATGCAAGCTGGTTTTTTCAAAATTATGGGGGTTTTCGGTTGGCCAAGTCCGATAGTTTTGACTGTTAACATATCCTGATAAATGGACCCACGCTTCGTCACTCATAAAAGTTAGATTTAAAACTTCGTTGTTGTTTAAATGATTATTAAACCAGCGACAATATTTGCGTCTACTTTCGTAATCTCGTGCATGTAGTTGTTGGACAACGGAAACTTTATAGGGAAACGTTGCGAGATCTTTGTGCAAAATTTTGTGGCACGTCCCATAAGATAAGCCTGTAATGATAACAAATAATGATGTTATCGTTTCTATTAAGTTACACCTACCACTCTGATTCGATAGTTTGCGAATTAATTTCTTAGGGCTCCGCTCGATACGTTGCCGTACATGTTCGATCACTTCCACACTTCGAATTGACGGACGACCTGTTGGTTTGGCCTTACAAATGCACTTCTTATTCTCAAAACGTTCGATAATTCGGTGCTTATGACTAACGAAGGTTTTATAACTGAAGTGGTGGTCGGGATATTATTCTTCGTTAAATTGCTGTAAGCAGGACCTAGTGGAATATGACCATGTACCATCTTCTAAACGTATTGCGCTACGATAGTGCGCCATTAATATGAACGCATCATGTTCAGGGGTAAAAGCCATTCTCGTTTCTAACTAAAAACTAGGGTTTTAAAATGCAAGGTTCGTGGTATGGAGACAAGGAAAAAAAACACGAAAAAAAAACCGACACCGATGATTTGTGTATTTAGGGAAAACCATGGCCGCCAACGTCTTATGTAAAAAATTCACAGGTTTCGCAATCCTTGCAACCATCTAAGACATTGGAAATGATAACCGTATAACCTGTAAAGTCATAAATAAGTAAAATAACCCTTCACACGGAGTAAGAAGCTGACCTCCCGGTACTGTGCGCTAGTTACATGCGAATATGGAAAAAGTAAACGTAAAAGGGTCCACTCATGTGTACTGGAAAATTGTACAGCCGATAAACAGATTGGATTAGGTACCGAAATTCGCCATGATATCCTAGAGAGAAATGTGCTTACTACACGCACAAAGCAAAATATACTAACAGATTTGGTTTAAGGTAATCGACATCCGCACGGTGGCAAACGTTATCAGCCGTAACATTTACGGAATGCGGCTCCACAACCGCCCTCCTCGTTCTTCGAAAGCACCGTCGTTCCCGAGAAACTCTATCGCGACAATTTCGGAATGCTAATATTGACAAATCTCGGGTCGCACGTTCCCCGCCGATGTTTATAATAATCCCGGTGGTCGCCGAATTCACTAGCGTGATGGCTTAGTAAAACCGGGATTCGTACGAATACCGGAGCCGGGAGGCGTGGGTGACGAGTTTTAAAAACCCGATTCGCACTGAAAATGTCACTAGAATCTAGTAACAATATTATTCGGTAGAAACTACAAGTTCCTCCTTTTCCTTCATTTTATGCATACGTCGTACTTTTAAAAGCGATTTACAATAAATAGGTAATAATTAAAGCTGTGAATTATATGCACGAAAAAATTGTAAAATATGCGCATATATATGCATCAAATTAGTGCAAAATATGCAAACCGTTTTGATATATATGCAAGCATATGCAAAATTATATCTTACATAAATTGCAAGAAAAAAAGAAATAACGTGGTTTTATTTAACAATTTAATTAAATCGGATGCCTTAATATACAATTTTAGCAACTTTTACAAGGTAGCGTCATTTAAATTGATGGTAATATTACTATTAACACTAACAATAATGTGTTTTTCTAAGTTTTCTGCAAGAAATGATTGCCTCCTGTCGCTAAGAATTAATTTATAAGCAGAGAAACTTCTCTCTACATCAACAGAAGTAATAGGTGCATTTGAAAGGGCCGACAAAATATTGGGATCAATTTCCAAACCTTCCACAATATCACCCATCAAGACCATCGAGACATTTTTTAATATTTGATATCCGTTATTTTTACTTAAAGTGTCATTTAGTTTTTTTGAAATACATTTGCCAATTTTACCCTTTAAACTATTCATAGTTTTTTTGAAATTTTCTATTAGATTTATGGCATCAATTAACAAAACGTCTTGCTTTTCCAGTTCTAAAAATAGTTTGGGAAATATAGAAAAATTATTCTTAATGTATGCTAACTGTTGACTTAACTGAGGATTGGCGGCTAATTGATTTGATTCACTAATAGCCGCCGATGAGTCCTCTGATGATAACTCTGTAAGTACTTTTTTAATACTCTCGAAATGCTGCGCATAAAATAAAGCCGCTTCCACCCATGTCCCCCATCTAGTAAGAATAGGTTTTGGAGGCAAAGGGATTCCCGGCAGCATTTCCTTGTATAACTGCACTCGTAAAGGCGCTTTCACAAACACCTTTTTTACA